CAAACACTCGGAGGCTTTGAGAAGAGTTTGTTGTGGATGAGTTGGATCAGCGATCCCAAAGCTTCCTTCTTTATTTATTTCCCCGTCACCTATTTCCTCAGCAGAAAGATCGGGATATCGGTTTTGTGGATTTCCGTACTTACCGAATGGTTAAATCTCACTTTCAAATGGTAAGTTCTTCTCCTTGTCTTAACCTGGTTTGTTCTTTTTGGCATCTTTCACTCTCTGCCCAAACTAGTGCATTTCTGCCTCTAATTTCTCCCCATTCCACCATCATCACAAGTTATTTTGTAGATGAAAGGTAAATATTTGCTGGTGCAACCTACTGGCCCCATTAACACCGATGCACGTGAACACGGAACTAGTGCTGATTAACGGCAGGGTTTTGCTGCAAGTTTGGAAGTGGCGAGACGTTCAGTCTTTGCTCCAGAGATAGTAGGGACTGCAGATGCTGGAGAATCCGAGACAACAAGGTGCAGAGCTGGATGAACACAGCAGGCCAAGCAGCATCATAGGAGCAGAGAGGCTTTCTGCTCGACCTGCTGTGTTCATCCAGCCCTGCACCTTGTTGTCTCAGTCTTTGCTCCGTTGCTTTAGTGGGTGTTAAAGATGCTTTCAGAGTTTCAGCTCACTAACCAGTTCTGGGATCTGAGGAGATCCTTCCTCAACCAACTGATTGATAGTTCATCGTCCTATCATGTCTGTTTATGGAGCATCGTAAAATGACTGCCACATCATCGCCCATGCGAGTCCCTTCATTTAAAAATATATAAAGTCACATTTCATGATGATAAATGTATCTACAGGAAAATGTAAGTGGGATGCACTTTCTTTTAAAGAAAGATAGAGACGGCCAGCCGCAGGGCTGAGTAGGAAATGAAGTTGGGTAGATCAACTAGTAATGATTTCAGTAGTCTCCTGATTGCTAAACTTAAAGCTGAACCTAATACGTTGCTTGTGATCATATTTTTGTGTGTTTACCCACTGTAGGGTGAGCACTTCCGGTGGGTTTCCTTCCTGGAGGTTTCATCATTTCCTTCTCCCTTCGTAGATGTCCTTTCTCTGACCGTGCCTCCACTGATTGCCCAACACGTCCACATACATCATGCCCTTCCTCCCATGAAAACTGAAAAGTGAAAAGGCCTTTCATTTCCTGATCAGCTGGTTTTAAACAGTTAGAGAGTCCTTTCTTACATCTTACATCTAATAAACAAAAGCATTGTAAGATTTATTAATAATGCTCCTTAGTTTTGTCCTGAAGTTTAATCTCCAGCTCCGAGAGTTTCCAAGCTTGGTAACTCTATAGTTCCAGGTTGTTATAGTATCATTGCTTTCCCATTCTTATTTACGGAATGCTACGTTGCTAGAAAATAAATGTTCGGAGTAGCAGTGGGAGGGTTGCACACTTTAATTATCTAGATCAATGGTGAACTGTAACCAATGGAACTTAAAAAAAGGTAAAATTGCCATAGTCTTACCAATTCATAGGGCTGCTCTCTCATTAGAGAGAGAGATGACTGATGATGGTTTAACCAGAGGGTCACTACGTCTTAGGCAAGGGAAGGGGTTGAGAAGGAGAATTCTTCATGGTAATCTCAGCTATTGACATCCAGTTGTATTGCAAACCAGCTGAGTTAACCCACCTCCAAATGGTGGAGGATGGTTTCAATCCATTGACTTCTGGGTTATGGGCCCAGCATCCTCTTGCTGTGCCACTCTGCTGCCTTACTTAAAAATGCTTCCTATTGGACAATTATTTTATATTTTATGTCTTATTTAGAGTTCCATATATTCTCATAAGGCTAACATCAATACAGCCAAGAGTGAAACAGTATGGGCCAGGGATACTGTGAAGTTTGATTGCTGGGTTGTGCAGTTTTGGTTGATCTCAACCAGCACAGCAGGGTGAGAGCTACTGGTTAGTCTCAACAATGCTGGACCATGACAGAACAATATATTGGTAAAAGATTCCTGTTGACTATTGCAATTGAGTAGATCCTACTGTCATGTTTTTGGAAACAAATAACAACAAGTGTAGGCCATTAAATACCCCAACCAATTCTGTCATAAAGTTATCTTGTGGTGCAGTGGTAGTGTCACTCTCTCTGAATTGCACCTTCCCACAAAATGTTCATTCTTGCCAAGTTTTGTGTTTCTACAATTTGCAGCCCCCCATTTTACAACCACCAAATTATGCAGCACCAACCACCCCCCAATTTTGCACTCCTGCCAAGGATTTTTTGTTCAACCCCAATGTACTGTCAAAGGAAGTGGTAGATGCAGGTACACTTATAACACTTAAAAGACTTTTGGACTGGTTCATGAATAGGAAATGTTTCGAGGAATATGGCTGAAAGCAGACAAATGGGTCTAGTTTCGTTTGGGAAACTTGTTTGGTGGATGAGTTGGACCGAAGGGTCTGTTTCTGTGTTGTATGACTCTATGAGTACAGACGCAGAGTCCTTAATCGTTCCTCATATGATAAGCCCTTCAGCCCCAGGATCATTCTTGTAAACCCTGTCTGGACCCCCTCCAATGCTAGAATGTCCTTCCTTTTGATATGTGACCCAAAACAGCTAACAATATTCCAAATGTGGTCTGACTAGAGCCTGATACAGCCTCCTCAGTACATCTCTGCTCTAATATTCTATCCCTCTTGAAATGAACGCAAACATTGTATTTCCTTCCTAACTGCCAAATGAACCAGCACGTTAACCTTAAGAGAATCCTGAACTAGGATTCCCAAATCTCTTTGTGCTTCAGATTTCCAAAGCTTTCCCCATTTAGAAAATAGTATTTGCCTTTATCCTTCCCACCAAAGTGCATAACCTTACACTTTCCCACATTGTATTCCATCTGGCACTTCTTTGCCCACTCATGTGGCCTGTCCAAGTCCTTCTGCAGCCTCCCCATATTTCACGCCACTGCCTCACCCTCCGCCTATCTTTGTGTCATCTGCAAACTTAACAACAATGTCCTCAATTCCTTCTTCCAGATCGTTAATGCGTAATGTGAATAGTTGTGGTCCCACCATTGACCCCTGCGGAGCTCCACTAGTTACAGCCGGCCATCCTGAAAAAGAGCCCTTTATCCCTACTCTCTGCTTTCTACCAGTCAGCCAATCCTCATTCCACACCAGTACCTTG